CAGCTCCCTTGCAGCTCCCTTGCAGCTCCCTTGCAGCTCCCTTGCAGCTCCCTGCATGGTCTGGTCTTCCACATTTTGCACAGCTGTGAGCCTCACTTGCTGTGTCTGGCCACTGAAAACAGGGAGTGCAATGATGCCCATAAATAGGCTGCTCTTGCTCCTGGTGACCAGCAGGGGCTCAGTGCTTTTAGGACTTGACCCTGTTGCTCGGTTTTGTGTTCCATGGATTCAAGGAACAAATGAACATGTGACCAAAGTCCTCCTTACCTAAGGAGGTTTTGTTTTGTTTTGTTTTGTTTTGTTTTGTTTTGTTTTGTTTGAGTCAGAGTCTCACTCTGTCGCCCTGGCTGGAGTACAGTGGCGCGATCTCAGCTCACCGCAACCTCCGCCTCCCCAGTTCAAGAGATTCTCCTGTCTCAGCCTCCAGAGTAGCTGGGATTACAGGCACCTGCCACCATACCCGGCTAATTTTTGTATTTTTAGTTGAGACAGTGTTTCACCATGTTGGCCAGGCTGGTCTCGAACTCCTGATCTCAAGTGATCCACCTACCTCGGCCTCCCAAAGTACTGGGATTATAGGCGTGAGCCACCGTGCCCGGCCGAGTCTGACTTTTGAACAGTTAAGACTGAAAAAATGAGTTGGGATAATCTCAGAGGAGCATCTGGTCTTTTGTTTTTCATGACAACTCAAGGAAAGTTAAACATCTGAATCACAGACCACTAATTAACAAGGCATGTTTTATATTGTAAACATAGAATACAGTAAATTAGGAAGGCAGGAAGGAGAAAAGACAAAAGAAAAAGAAAACCCTGTCAGGTTCACCTGTCAAAAATTACACTCCAATTCCAAAGTTCATTGTTTGCTTTGCTTGTTTGTTCCACTTTCAAATTTAACAGATTAGATATTTACATGGTTCTAAATGCAAAATGGCTGCTTGCTATTTAGAACAGTTGTGGTCATACTGTTTTTGCAGTTTTTATTCTGTTTTCCCAGAAGGAACTTTATTTTTCAATGTGTGTCCCATCCCCTTTTTTTCTTTTTTTTTTTTTTTTTTTTGTTGTTGTTGAGACAGAGTCTCGCTCTATCGCCCAGGCTGGGGTGCAGTAGAGACGGGGTTTCACCGTGTTAGCCAGGATGGTCTCGATCTCCTGACCTTGTGATCCGCCCGTCTCGGCCTCCCAAAGTGCTGGGATTACAGGCTTGAGCCACCGCGCCCGGCCTCCCTTTTTTTCAAAATGAGATAGGGTCTCACTGTGTTGTCCAGTCTGGTCTCGGACTCCTGGGCTCAAGCAATCCTCCTGCCTCAGCCTCCCAAAGTGCTGAGATTACAGGCATGAGCTATTGCATCAGCCTGATCACCATCATCTTATTCCACCCAGGGGCTGGCACATAATTTTTGAGTCCCTCTCTCTTTCCCACCACCAATTGCTCTCGGCATTTATGTTGCTCCCAGTTTCCCAGGGTTCTAAGTTTGTGATGAGCAGCATAACCCTTTCTCCGTTTCAAAGACTGTTTTGTTCAGACATGTTCCCTTAGTGGCCAGAGGATGTGGATAGGTTCTGATCCATCTCATCGGGTTATTTCAGAAGGACCACAGCACATCGGTCACTCATTCATGTGCCCTGCCCGAGCAGTACCCAGCAAAGCCACCCTGTAAGACACATGGGCTACTGCTGGGAATACCAGGGGTTATGAAAACAAAAATGAACCTACCTTGCTGATTGGGAGAGGGAAATGCTATCCTCTTTGGTATAAATTTTATTTATGATGATGATTATTATTATTATTATATTGAGACAGAGGCTCGCTTTGCCGCCCAGGCGGGAGTGCAGTGGCGTGATCTCAGCTCATTGCAACCTCCGCCTCCCGGGTTCAAGCAATTCTCATGCCTCAGTTATCTGAACAGCTGGGATTACAGGCGCACCAGCTAATTATTGTATTTTTAGTAGAAACAGGGTTTCATCATGTTGGCCAGTCTGGTCTTTGCCCGCCTCAGCCAGGCTTCGCCGCCACCACTGGCCTCCCAAAGTGCTGGGATTAAAGGCGTGAACCATCACCCCTGGACTTAATTTTATTATTATTATTATTATTATTACTAGTGAGAGTGTCATTTCCCTATGTCTTCCCATTAATTGAATTTTTTCTTGTGTGAAGTGCTTCCTCCCCACCTTCTCTGTTTGGTCCGTTTGTGGGTTCTCTATCATCACCCTTGGCTGAGTATACCTACAACTTTTTTTTTCTTCTTTACAGTTTGTCTATCTTTTGTGTGTGTGTGTGGAGAGGGGGGGAAGATAAGGTCTGGCTCTGTCACTCAGGCTGGAGTGCAGTGGCATTATTACAGCTCACTACAGCCTTGACCTCCTGGGCTCAAGTGATCCTCATACCTTAGCCTCTCGAGTAGCTGGGACCACAGGTACGCACCACCACACCTCCTAGCTCATTTTTTATTTGTGTGTAGAGACAGGGTCTCACTATGTTGCCCAGGCTGGTCTGGAACTCCTGGCCTCAAAGGATCCTCCCAACTCACCCTTGCTGGGATTGCAGGTGTGAGCCACCACACCGGCCTACTTTTGTATTCTTGTGTGTAACTCTTCACTGCAGCTGGAGTGTGTCTGGGCTTGTGGAGAGAAAAGAAGAGCCAGGGAGGTGCAGAATGCTGGGCTGTTTGGTGCCCCTTCTAACTCCTGACCCCTTCTTGAAATCCCAGGGCTTTCTGAGCAGGGCCCTGAAATATGCTTGCTTGTAGGAAATTAGGGCAGAGGGCCCGTTTGACGAATTGACTTGAAAAAATTGTTGATTCAAGAGTAGCAACGTGGCTGGGTGTGGTGGCTTACGCCTATAATCCCAGCACTTCAGGAGGCCAAGGCTGGTGGATCACTTGAGCTCAGGAGTTGAGACCAGTCTGGCCAACATGATGAAACCTCGCCTCTAATAAAAATACAAAAATTGGCGGGTGTGGTGGCACACACCTGTGGTCCCAGCTACTTGGGAAGCTGAGGCAGGAGAATCACTTGAACCCGGGAGGCTGAGGTTACAGTGAGCCAAGATCACACCACTGCACTCCAGCTGGGAAGACATGATTACTGAGACTCCATCTAAAAAAAGAAAAAAAAAAAGTAGCTACTATTCACAAAAGGACAAAAACTTAATTATTCCACTTATAGGAAGTACCTTCCATACTCAAGTTCATAGAGGCCATACTCAAGTTCATCAAGTTCATGGTTCCCAGGGGCTGGGGGAGGGGCAATGGCAACCTCTTATTTAATGAGGGTCCAAGCTTCCTTTTGGGATGATGAAAAAGTGTGGACACAAATGTTGGATCCTTGTGTGACAATGTGAATGTACCTAATGCCACTGAACTGTACACTTAAAAGTCGGCTGAGGTAGTAAATCTGGTGTTTTGTACACTTTACCACAAATAAAAGAGCATAGCCTAGAAGTGGACGAGTCAAGGAGGCTTCAGTCATCCCATCATACATGATGTATTGAAACTCACAGGGGACCAGGCCAGGCGGCTCATGCCTGTAATCCTAGCACTGTGGGAGGCCGAGACAGGCAGATCGCTTGAGCTCGGGAGTTCAAGTCCAGCCTGGGCAACATGGTGAAACCCTGTCTCTACCAAAAATATTAATACAAAAACAGCTGGGTGTGGCGGTGGGCGCCTGTGGTCCCGGCTCCTCAGGGGACTGGTGTGGGAGGATCGCTTGGGCTCAGGCGGTCAAGGCTGCAGTTAGCTGAGTTTGTGCCACTACACTCTAGCCTGGGCAACACAGAGAGACCCCATCTCAAAAAAGAAAAGAAAGAAAGAAAAGAAACTTACAAGGACCTGGCAGACTACTGTGTCATCAGTGGGTGGGATCCTTACGAGCTTCTGCCTAGGGACAGTCAGCCTCAGGTCTTTTCTTGCTGCTGCTGGCTGGGTGGCTTTTCCCTTTTCCTTTTTTTTTTTGAGACGGATTCTCCCTCTGTCGCCAGGCTGGAATGCAGTGGCAGGATCTCGGCTCACTGTACCTGCCTCAGCCTCCTGAGTAGCTGGGACTACAGGTGCGCGTCACCACACCCAGCTAATTTTTGTATTTTTAGTAGAGACGGGGTTTCACCATGTTGGCCAGGATGGTCTCGATCTCTTGACCTTATGATCCGTCCGCCTCAGCCTCCCAAAGTGCTGGGATTACAGACGTGAGCCACTGCGCCCGGCCAGTCTTTCCCTTCTCTGCGCCTCGCTTCCACCTGCTGGAAACACTCTAAGTGGATGGTTTTATTGTCCCCATTTTGTGAATGAGGAAACTAAAGTTCATAGGGTCAAATGTCTGGCTCCAGGTCCCTGGGCCAGTTGGTGACAGAGCCAGAGGTGAGCCCAGGGGTCTGACCCTGCAGCCCTGGCACCTCCTTCATGGACCCCCTTCTTTCTTCTCCACCCAGTTTGACTTTGAAAGTGACCATGCAGACTGCCTGCCAAGACTTGCCCAGGATCCCTCACCTTACTGAGCACTTGCTCCATGCTGGACCTGGGCCAAGAGCCCTTCACACACCTTGTGTAATTCTCACCACCGCTAGGGCTAAGGATGGTTTTGCCCATTTTGCAGATGCAGAGAAATGGCAGTCAGGGATCCACTAAAGAAACAGAACCAGTAAGAGGTAGGCAGGTAGACAGACAGGCCAACGTACCTGGGAAAATTGACTTATGTGATGGTGAGGCTGGCTAGGTAGCTGAAACTCAGACAGGAGTGGACACTGCAGCCCACACGTGAAAGTTCTTTTTTTTTTTTTTTTTTTTTTTTTGAGACAGGGTCTCACTTTGTGGGTGGCCCAGGCTGGAGTACAGTAGTGTGATTTACAGCTCACTACAGCCTCCACCTCCTGCGCTCAAACCATCCTCCTGCTTCAGCCTCCCAAGTAGCCAGGACTACAGGTGCACACCACCACACCCAGCTAATTTTTGTTGTTTTTGTAGAGACGAGGACTTGCCATGTTTCCCAAGCTGGTCTTGAACTCCTGGATTCAAGTGCTTTGCCCACCTCGGCCTCCCAAAGTGCTGGGATTACAGGTGTGAGTTACCTGGGCTGGCTACCAGTTCTGTTCTTAAGGCCTTTCAACCAATTGGGTCAGTCCCAACCAGGTTGTCTAGGATACTCTCTTTTACATAAAGTCAACTGATATAGAATGTTCATCACATCTACAGAATACTTTCACAGACCAGCCTGGGCAACATAGCAAGACCCCATCTCTACAAAATTTTAAAAAATCAGCTGGGGGTGGTAATGAGTGCCTGGCAGGTGCAGCTACTCAGGAGGCTAAGGTAGGAGGATTGCTTGAACCCAGGAGGTCGAGGCTGCAATGAGCTATGATTGTACCACTGCACTCCAGCCTGGGCAATAGAGCAAGACCTTGTCTCTTAAAAAAAAAAAAAAAATGTTTCACAGCAACACTTTGACTTGTGTTTGAGAAACCGGATACTACAGCCTAACCAAGTTAACACATACAACTGACCATTACAGTGAGCTCAGGTTAATTAGCTCACCCGAGGTCCCAGTCACCAGGCCTTTGCAACTTTTCTTCCTTTTTTTTTTGAGACGGAATCTCACTCTGTCACCCAGGCTGGAGTGCAGTGGTGCAATATTGGCTCACTGCAACCTCTGCCTCCCGGGTTCAAGCAATTCTCCTGCCTCAGCCTCCCGAGTAGCTGGGATTACAGGCACCCGTCACCATGCCCAGCTAATTTTTTGTATTTTTAGTAGAGACAGGGTTTCACCATCTTGGCCAGGCTGGTCTTGATCTCCTGGCCTGGTGATCCACCTGCCTTGGCCTCCCAAAGTGCTGGGATTACAGGCGTGAGCCACTGTGACCGGCCCTTTGCAGCTTTTCAAACCTTCTCTCGGACAATGAGAGCAACATGGTTGGAAAAGCATCAGCCTTGGGACTAAGCAGCACTGGGTTCGCGTCACTGCCCTGTCACTCAGTCTCTCAACAACCCTGGACAGATCACTTCTGCAAGGGTCCCCAGCTCCTCCGTAGAGTTGGGTGGGGCTGTGGGGGAAGGTCGGAGGGAGCCTGCATGGACCCTGGGTGCCCGCCCGCAGGGGCCTCTGACTCCTCCTTCTTCCTGTGCTGAGTATCTCTGTCCCCAGTCCCATGATGATGGCTCTTTCTTGCCTCTGCCACCAGCAACATGAAGCTGCACTGCAAGAGGGAGAAGCCGCTCCAGCCTGTGGCATGGTAAGGAGACTGGCATTTCCCCTTTTGTGGCCTTGAGGGTGGTGGCTCCCCTCCACCACTGGTCCTTCTTGGTTGCAGGTCACAGTACCCCCAGCCCAAGCTGCTGGAGCACAGGTAGGTGTCATGCAGGCCTGAAGGGGGTGGGGGGAGGAGGCAAAAGAGCTCTGATTTATAAGTTGGGGTAGTGGAGGTGCCAATATCAGGGTGGCCTTGGGGTCCAGAGAGTTAGGGACTGTGGAAAGACACAGGGCTGGGAGTCAGGGACCTGTGCTGTGTGACCTTGGGCAGGGTACCCAACTGCTCTGAGCTTTTTCTGTGCAGGTGGATAATAGTACCTAGCTCCCTGGAGGTTGGAGGAGCAGATGAGAGGTACTGTAACATCTGCGGTGTCTGCACTCAGTAGGTGCTCGGGCCATTGTTCTTAACAATGTTGTCTTGCCCTTTTTAATGACCCTCAATTATTAGGGGCTCGGCACACATGGACAATGCCAGGCTCCTCCTTGGTGTGCATTAACTCCTGCTCTTCCCAACCCTGCTGGGAGGTGACTGTCATTATTCCCACCTTCCATGTGAGGAAAGGGAGGCCCAGAGATGGGGACGAAGCTGCCCCGGTCACACAGTGTGAGAGCCAGGGCCGGGAGGAGACTTAGGCTTTCACAGGGGAGGGTCTCAGTGCCCACGGTCCCCCTGCTGCCAGGCCCACACAGCTGCTGACACTCACACCCTGGTTAGCGCCCATCGTCTCCGAGGGAACCTTCAACCCAGAGCTTCTGCAGCACATCTACCAGCCACTGAACCTGACCATTGGGGTCACGGTGTTTGCCGTGGGGAAGTGAGTAGTGGGCTGGGGAAGGGGAGGGAGGTCTCCCTGAGCCACAGTTTATAGTCAGGAAGAGAACAGATGTGCACACAGGACCCTGCAGGGCGCCCAGGGAGCTCGGAACCAGGTGCTGAGCAGACAGAAAATGCAGAGTAGGGTGTGATAGTGGGATGGGGGCTTCCTGGGGTAGGGGGTCTGGCTCTAGCATAGATGGGAGGCAGAGTCCAGGTGAGGGGACAGCAGGAACCTTTCTCAGGAGGCCCCACTGCCCCTCCCTGTTTCATCTGAACCCCTCCTCTGCCCTCGTCTCTCCCTGACCCCACCTGGCCTTCCTTAGGAGCTGCCGCTTGGCAGCCTCCCTTTGGGCCCCTGGGACTCCTTCCTGGAACTTCCGGGGGCCCCAAGCCCTAAAGCATGGCCAGATGATGAATGGCCCACCTAGGGTCAGGTGACCCCCTTGTCCAGTGAGTTTTGGCCTGGGGGCAGGGCTATGTCAACCACACCCCACTCCATGCCCCCAGCGTCTAGCTCAACTGCTTTCCCTTAATTCGTCCACTTACCTGCTTCTTGGCTACTTTCTTCTCCGTGGTACTCAATGTTCCTGCCTGTATAATGGGCACGCTTTAAGGCAGCTTATGAAGATCAAAGATCATAAGAATTCTTAGAACGTTGCTGGGGACTTAGAAATTGTTCAATAAAACTTCACCTGGTCTAGAAGCTTAAGAATCTCTACCAGGAGGCCGGGCACAGTGGCTCATGCCTGTAATCCCAGCACTTTGGGAGGCCGAGGCGGGCAGATCACAAGGTCAGGAGATCGAGACCATCCTGGCTAACATGGTGAAAACCCATCTCTACTAAAAATACAAAACAAAACAAAAAAAATTAGCCAGGCGTGGTGGCAGGTGCCTATAGTCCCAGCTACCTGGGAGGCTGAGGCAGGAGAATGGCATGAACCCGGGATGCGGAGCTTGCAGTAAGCTGAGATCGCACCACTGCACTCCAGCCGGGGCGAGAGAGCGAAACTCCATCTCAAAAAAAAAAAAAAAAAAAAAAAAAAAAGGTGCCTATAGTCCCAGCTACCTGGGAGGCTGAGGCAGGAGAATGGCATGAACCCGGATGCGGATGCCTTGGGTAAGCTGAGATCGACCACGCACCCAGCCGGCGAGAGCAAAACTCCATCTAAAAAAAAAGAATTCTACTGGTGAATATAAGCATGGGGAACAGCCAGGCAGCAAAAAAAAAAAAAAAAAGAAAAAAAAAAGAATCTCTACCAGGAACATGCTTACAACAGCCGTTAAGAGGCTGGTACTAGCGTTTTGGGAATTGGACAAATGAGGACCCAGAGGGTCAGAGCAGAGTGACATCTTGAGATGGGGAGCTGGTAAGTGGACCCCAGCCTGGCTGGCCCCAGCACACAGTGGGGACGCAGGCAGGCTGCTGGGGTAGCGGTGGGTGACCGGGTGATCATCACTAGGTACACTCACTTCATCCAGTCCTTTCTGGAGTCAGCCGAGGAGTTCTTCATGCGTGGGTACCGGGTGCACTACTACATCTTCACTGACAACCCTGCAGCCGTTCCCGGGGTCCCACTGGGTCACCACCGGCTCCTCAGCACCATTCCCATCCAGGGTCACTCCAACTGGGAAGAGACATCCATGCGCCGGATGGAGACCATCAGCCAGCACATTGCTAAGAGGGCCCACCGGGAGGTGGACTACCTCTTCTGCCTTGATGTGGACATGGTGTTTCGGAACCCGTGGGGCCCTGAGACCTTGGGAGACCTGGTGGCTGCCATTCACCCAAGCTACTACGCCACACCCCGCCAGCAGTTTCCCTACGAGCGCAGGCGTGTTTCCACTGCCTTTGTGGCAGACAGCGAAGGGGACTTCTATTATGGTGGGAAAGTCTTCGGGGGGCAGGTGGCCAGGGTATATGAGTTTACCAGGGGCTGCCACATGGCCATCCTGGCGGACAAGGCCAATGGCATCATGGCAGCCTGGCGGGAGGAAAGCCACCTGAATCGTCGCTTCATCTCAAACAAGCCGTCCAAGGTGCTGTCCCCCGAGTACCTCTGGGATGACAGGAAGCCCCAGCCGCCCAGCCTGAAGCTGATCCGCTTTTCTACACTGAACAAGGATATCAGCTCCTGAGGAGTTGACCATGGAACTGGGGCTGCCATGGATGGGGATCCAAAGCCCTGTAGCCACCAGCACTTCACTAGTGGGCAGACCAGCCCTGTTCCACCTCCCTCTGTCAGTCAGGCGAATTCAACTGGAAAAGGGATGTGGAAAGGCCACTGTGAACTGCAGAGGACTGTGCACACAGTAGCACACAAGATCTCACACTAATGTGGCACAGGAACGGTGAGACGGGGGAGGGGACGCGCAGTTACAAAGGCAGGGCCGGGCAGGCTTGCTGCGTTCTGCAGCAGTGCCTTTGTGGGGCAGGCTCCGAAGCCTCAGCCCGACTCAGAGTGCCTGAACCCTGCAGCACCAGCCTCCCGTTTATTGCATATTGCCCTTAACACAGCATTTCTAATACACTAGTGTGAAGGCACCCTAGACCCCTTTTCTCTGGTCACAGGGGTCCTGGATCCCTTGATGTCTCCCAATCACATGTAGCCAATTCCTCACTCAGGCCCCCAGAGCGAGCCTTTGAAATGGAGCAGGTCTAGGCTCCCTCTGGTTTCCTGCGCCCCAAAGTGAGCCGCACTCTCAGGGGACTAGCCACCTCCTTCTGAAGAGGGTTTGGGGCAGTTTATAATAAAGGTAGTGCCGGGCGCGGTGGCTCAAGCCTGTAATCCCAGCACTTTGGGAGGCCGAGACGGGCGGATCACGAGGTCAGGAGATCGAGACCATCCTGGCTAACACGGTGAAACCCCGTCTCTACTAAAAAATACAAAAAACTAGCCGGGCGAGGTGGCGGGCGCCTGTAGTCCCAGCTACTCGGGAGGCTGAGGCAGGAGAATGGCGCAAACCCGGGAGGCAGAGCTTGCAGTGAGCTGAGATCCGGCCACTGCACTCCAGCCCGGGCAACAGAGCCAGACTCCATCTCAAAAAAATAAAAAATAAAAAATAAAAATAAAAATAAAGGTAGTGTGTGCTTTTCCCTAGCTAGGGTGATTTTTTGTTTGTTTTGCTTTTGTTTTTGTTTTCTTTGAGACCGAGTTTCGCTCTTGTCACCCAGGCTGGAGTTCAGTGGCGTGATCTTGGTTCACTGCAACCTCCGCCTCCCAGGTTCAAGCGATTCTCCTGCCTCAGCCTCCCAAGTAGCTGGGATTACAGGCACCCACCACACCCAGCTAATTTTTAAATTTTTAGTAGAAACGGGGTTTCACCATGTTGGCCAGGTTGGTCTCAAACTCCTGACCTCGAGTGATCCACCTGCCTTGACTTCCCAAAGTGCTAGGATTACAGGTGTGAGCCACCGTGCCTGGCCACTAAGGTGGTTTTTACCTGCACATTCAGCCTGCCTGTGTCCCCAGTGCCTGTTCCATCAAGCAGACTGGATTTCAAACACAATCGAATGGGGGTGGGGGGTAGGGGATATAGTTACTCCAGAAAATCTGAGCTAAAGCTAGAGGCTGCAACGGACAGTATTTCATTCCAGTTCTCCAGGGAGACGGGGTGAAGCGGAGCATGCTGGCAGACCTACCACACTCCTGACTGTGTAGAGGGAATATGGAGCCCAGCAGCTGGACAACCCTGGGAGCTCCTGTATCCAGGGTCACGGCAGCCCTGTGAGGCCACCAGTGGGCATGGGAGTCTGTGCCAATGGTGCAGGCCAGGATTAGAGGGCTTAGGAAGATGACCTCTCCAGTCTGGACCCAGAAGGACTTCAGAGGCCTACAGCCGTTCTGTCTGCCTGGCCACGCAGAGATGGGGTGGGGTATGGGTTCAGGGCTTGGTGGCCTGGTGCTTACTGCCCTGGAGACAGCAGCATCTTTTTCGTGGAAGGAGAAGACGGGGGGGCGGGGGGCGGGTAGACTCTGGTCATACCAGAATGGGCAGGCACCCACCCACTCGGTCACCCGTAGAAAAGTTGGGGCCAGCCCTGAGTTCATTCTTCCTGCACCTGTGGTTTGACCAGCTAGCAGGGACCGATCCCGAGTGTGGACAGATGGAGTGACTAGTTGGAAGAGACAGACTGGGCTGGAGAGGCCTGGAGTTTAGAAGGGGCTCTGGGTGCCTCCTGGGCAGAGGGGCAGGAATGGAACCATGGCCTCTGTGTCCCTCATAGGGAGCACCTGCTCCAGGGGAGAGGGGGCTGTGCTGAAGGAGTAGGCCCTGCCTCCGGGGAGCTTCTGTTGAAAGCACATAGAGGGCCATGGAAGCGCTGGACTCAGCTGGGTGGATGACTGGGAGATGGGGGACCCGAGGTGACAGCAGACTCTGAGGCTTGGGCAGCTCCGCCTAGCAGGGGAGAAACCCCCCACATCCCCCTCACCCCACTTACACCCAGCTTTACCCCTGGCACACCCTCCCGGATGGGAGTCCCTGAGCCATTTTCAGTAGAGGAAACAGACTCTGAGAGGTCCCCCCGAGCTTGCCTGTGATGTGGCCCAGCTGCAGGTTTGAACCCAGGTCATCTGGGTTCAAGACTGTGCACCGCCTGGGGTGGGAGGAGTGCAGCTCTGAAGGTGAGTGCATTGTGGAGGATGATACAGGGAGGGGCAGTGCTGACAGGGGGCTCTGAGAGAGGCAGGAGCTTGATGGGGTCCCTGGGTCAGGATGGCCCCAGGAGGCTAGAGTTGGGGTATAGGGACCAGGTCACACAGGGTTCTGAATGCCAGGCAAGGAGGCAGGGGTCACTGCCGGTCTGTCCCAGCAGGGGGATCAATATAAATGGGGCCCAAGTGCTGGACTCAGGGGAAACCTGGCCAGCAGGATGAGGCCTCTGATGACCAGCTCGGGGATGAGCGACGGGGAAGAGCCACGAAGTGTGGGGGTCACCACGCACAGCAGGGCCTGGCCAGTCAGAGCTGAGTGGCCTGCAGTGCTGGTGCCTTGGCTCTGGTGTAAAATTGAATGAGGCCGGGCATGGTGGCTCACGCCTGTAATTCCAGCACTTTGGGAGGCCAAGGCAGGAGGATCACTGGAACCCAAGAGTTCCAAACCAGCCTGGGCAACATAGTGAGACTTCGTCTCTACATAGTTGTTTTAAAAATAAAAAGGGCTGGGCACAGTGGCTCACGCCTGTAATCCCAGCACTTTGGGAGGCCGAGGTGGGCAGATTACAAGGTCAAAAGTTCCAGACCAGCCTGGCCAACACAGTGAAACCCCGTCTCTACTAAAAATACAAAAATTAGCCGGGTGTGGTGGCACATGCCTGTAGTCCCACCTACTCGGGAGGCTGAGATGGGAGAATCACTTGAACCTGGGAGGCAGAGGTTGCAATGAGCCGAGACTGTGCCATTGCACTCCAGCCTGGGTGACAGAGTGAGACTCTGTCTCAAAAAAATAAATAAATCAAAAGGGATGGCCAGGCATAGTGGCTCACGCCTGTAATCCCAACACTTTGGGAGGCCGAGGCGGGTAGATCACCTGAGGTCAGGAGTTCGAGAACAGCCTGGCCAACATGGTGAAACCCTGTCTCTACTAAAATACAAAATCAGCTGGGCGTGGTGGCAGGTGCCTGTAATCCCAGCTACTTAGGAGGCTGAGGCAGGAGAATTGCTTGAACCCAGGAGGCGGAGGTTGTAGTGAGCCGAGATCGCACCATTGCATTCCAGCCTGGGGGACAAGAGTGAGACTTCCTCTCAAAAAACAAACAAATGAACATCTCAAAAACAAAAATAAATAAATAATAAAAAGGGACGAAATCAGTGAGCCCTAATAACACTGAACACTGACTACCCCCAACACTCGCTCAACCCCTGTGTGAGGCCTCCTTCCCCCAGGCTCCCTCGAGCCCCATCTTACACCAGCTGAAGCTGGTCCCAGGTGATGTCAGATAAGACAAGGATGGAGGTGGAGAAGGGGAGACCTGACTTTCTCCCTGCCCAGGCTGAGTCCGCTGTCACCTTGGGTCCCCCAGCTCCCAGCCGTCCGCCGTGCCCAGTCCAGCAGGTGGCATCGGTCTGCTGGGCGACAGGGTGAGCGTGTATATTTGGTGACGCCGGCGGGCCGAGTCAGCGGCCCCCGCCTGACTGGGGCGAGGTTGGCCCTAGGTCCTAGCAGGGTGGGGAGTACTGAGCAGGCGGCTGGGGCGGAGGGACACGTGAGATTGGCCGCACACAGCGCTTGGCGCGTGGCGCGTGGCGCGTGCGCGCGGCGAGGCGGAGTGACGTGCACGCGCTGTCTGCGGTCCCGCGCAGGCCCCGTGTGCGCGCCAGGCCTTGGACTCCAGGCCCGGCTGCCCCACGCTGGGAACACCCGCGTCGGCGCGCGGGAGGGAGGCCTGAGCGCGGTCCCGAGCGCGCCCCCGAGCTCGCGCGGCGGGGCGCGCCACTCGCACCTGCTGGCCGGCTGGGGCGGGGCCGCAGCTGTCCCCGCCCACCCAGGCCCGAGCCCCGGGAGCCGGGGCGGAACCGAGCGGCGGGGCCCGAGCGGCCGGAGCGCGGCGCGGCGCAGACAATGGGAGCGGCGCTGGCGGCGGCTCGGGCGGCCCCGGGGGCCACAGAGTCCTGGGCCCGGCGGGGACCGGAGGCCGCGCCATGAGCCCCGCAGCCGGGCGCACCCCTGCGCCGCGCGCGGGCCGAGGCAAGCGGCCTCTGCGAGCCCCGGGCCCCGCCCTGGGGCCGGCGATGAGCCACCGAGGCTGAGGATGATGGTAGATTGCCAGGTGAGTGCGCGCCGGCCCCAGCCCCGTGTCGCGGGTGGAGGGAGGACCGCACGCCCCCGCCCACACCCACCGGGGGGAGGGAGCCCGGCGCGGCGTCCACGCTGAGCGTGCGCTTACGCAGCTCCGCGTCCAACCCCGCCCGGGACAGTAGGGAAACTGAGGACAGGAGAGGGGCAGGGACTGGCCCGGGGCACACGAAGTGGGCGGAGTCCAGAGGTGAAGGGAGGGTTCCGACCTCTTAGGCCAGGAAGGGCTCGGCTCACCCTTCCCATGGGGTTTGCTTTGGGAATGACAGCCTCTAAGATCCTGAGGACCCCTGCCCATCTCCCATGTGGGCTCTTTTGCCTGGGCTTCTCCGCGCACGCACAGGCGCAGGCCTGCGCACACATGCTCACACACACGCAGACACACACACCACACACTTCCTGGGACTCAGAGTAGGATGGGACGCTGGGGAAGTGACTGGGGGAGAGATGAAAGAGGGCAGGGGCTGCTCTGTCATGGGCAGGTGCATCCAGTACCCAACAACATGCCCGGGGCCATGGCACGGGGTGGGGGAGCAAGGGGAGGACACGCCAGCTTGATGGGCGGGGGTTCTCCAGGGTTCCCAGGATCTGTGTGGGCTGGGCAGCCTGGAGAGGACAGATTGTGGGGTTCTGTGTTCACCACTGTGATCACCTAGAAGCAGGAGAAGACCCCTTCAGTGTGGAGGGGACTGTAGGAAAGGAAGCCTCAAATTCCTGCTCTATAAATTGGAATGTTCGGCCTGAGTGACCCCAAGGGTCCCACAGGCTCGTAGACGTATCTGTCGGCCTTGGGTCTCCACTGGGGATGCTCCCACTACCTACCGAGGTCTGTGGAAAATGCCTTCTTCTTGGAGGTCCTTCTGAGCAAGAGAAGCCTGGGGGGCTGAAGGGCTGAGGGCCTGGGGTGGTGCAGAGTGCGCCCAAGCACTGGACCACTCTTGTGGGGCAAGACTGTCCTTGTTGGAGCCTCAGGGTTCTTACCTGGAAGTGGGGCCAGAGCCGTTGCCCTGGTTGGAGTGAGGAGGCCTCACGAGTGAACTGGACACCCCAGGGCCAG